TCTGAACGCTGAAGTTGAAAATTGCTCACTGATGAACTGCATCCGAGCGGCCAACATGGTGTAGGCTCTCGTAATGATAACGGTGAGCGGTTACTTCATTTGTGCGAAGATGCTCGCTTATTTCTTGCGAGCACTAATTTCCGACACGGCACCCGCCGGAGGTCGACTTGGCGCCCACCAGCCTCGAACCAGCTATTGACGCAAACCGATCACATTGCGATAAGTTACCGATGGAGATGCTGCTTCCAGAACTGTCGCTCGATTTGGAGCACAGGTGTGGACACTGACCACGCACTTGTATGGGCTGACCTGCGGATGCGTTTTGGCGGACGCCCGCGACGATGTTGTGAGCGCATTGACACCAGCCAACTGGCGAAGCCAGCTGTTCTAAATGCCTATCAAGGTACGCTGTCATGCAAATTGAGTAAGCACTCACTGGATGCAATTGTAGCTCACTGGTCTCATATTCACCAGACCTTACTAGCAGCAGGAGAAGCCTAATGTGCTAAGTCTAATCGCCAATATGGACATTTGGTCTCTTGGCAGTCTCTGGAAGTTATAGATGCTCGCAGGAATATTCCGGATGGAAGCGAACACAATGAAACTCGCAAAGAGCTCCGGGCAAAATTCCGTACCAGCCTGAAGAGAGACAGCGAATCCTGGTGGTCTCATATTGCATCAGAGATGGAAATAGCCGCTGCCCTTGGCAACCATCGTAAGTTATTCCGTCTGATACGGGAAACGGGCAGCAGGAAACTGGTGTTAGTGAAACAATTTGTGACGAGAGTGGACAGCCTATCCACAATTTGTCCAAACGCTTGGAGCGTTGGACTGAGCATTTGGAAAGGCAATTTAATCGGTCGGAATTGTTAGATTTCTCGCAGGCCACAGATCACCCCGCTCCATTGGCTGTCCCTTTGGATCCACCCTCTCGCTCAGAAGTCGAACGTGAGATCGGACTGTTGAAGTTAAATAAAGCCGCAGGACCAGATGATCCACCTCCGGCCCTCTTCATATCCAGGGGACCTACTCTTGTGGATGATTTAAACGAGTTACTAGTCAAACTGTGGGAGCAGGAAACTGTCTCAACCGACTGGAGCCGCTCCGTCATAGTCCCAATTTTCAAGGGAGACCCACAATCGGAATGCGGCAACCACAGTCCGATCTCCATCACCTCCAAACTGCTTGCCTCAGTCATCCTCCACAGACTGACTGGCACTCGAGAAAGCCATATTCGTAAAGAGCAAGCCGGGTTTTGTCGACGTCGTGGCTGCGTTGACCAAATCTTCACCTTGCGTCAGTTACTGGAGCACCGTCACATATTGGCAGCCCACCGTTGTCGTGTTCCTCGATATCAAAGGTGCATTCGATTTGGTGGATAGAGGTGCACTTTGAGACTTTCTACTCAAAGGTGTACCTGAGAAATACGCAAATATTATCCGAGCATTATACGTGCACAGCTCGGGCAGAGTGAAGGCTTACAGCAAGCTGTCGTTGCCCTTTAACATCTCCAGCGGTGTAAGACAAAGATGCCCGCTGTCACCTTATCTCTTCCTCTTCGCTATTGATGAAGTCATGGAAATCGCGTTCACAGGACACGACCTAGAAAGCGTAGATCTACTCCCAGGTGAACGTATTCTTGAGTTGGAGTATGTTGAAGATATTGCCCTAATCTGTGACAGCTCACAAACGTGCCAAGCGGCACTGGACAGGTTAGCACTAGCTGTCCGTCACTTCGGGCTTTGCTTTGCACCCTCGAAGTGCAAAGCGTTCCTCCAAGATTGGCCTGGACCGCCTCCTTCGCTGACCCTTGGTGGAGATCAGCTAGAGGTCGTTCAAAAATTCAACTACCTGGGAAGTTGTATCAGCGCCCGTGGGATTGAGGATGAGATCATGAACCGTATAGCAAAAGTTCGAGGCGCTTTTGCTAACCTTCGCCACTTATGGCGCCGGCGCGACATCACTCTCGACCTGAAGGGTAGAGTGTACAGTGCAGCGATACTTTCAACCCTACTGTACGGTTGTGAAACCCGGCCCCTTAGGTCAACGGACATATAAAGGCCAGTTACGTTCGACCACCGGTGCCTTCGTAATTTAGCTCACATCTGGTGGAAACACCGAGTAAGCAACAAGCGTGTTCGACCCCTTGTTTACGGCACAGAAAAAGGAAATGAACCGCTCAACACCGGTATTCCATGTACCAGGCACCGATGGCTCGGCCACGTGTTACGCATGTCAGTCCACCGACTCCCGCGACGTGCGTTGTTTTCGCGCCGGGGGTGTGGATGGAAAAAGAGGAGGGGTGGCCAAGCGATGACTTGGTCGAGAGGAATAAAGGCCCTCACTTCGAAGCTGGCCCCGGTTGGAGCGTCTCGACTTCCTGGTTGGGGTCCGAAAGACGATGAACACGTTTGGTTGGACACACATATTGATATGGCTAGGAGCCGACCTCAGTGGCGTTCGTGCTGTGAGTTTCTTTGTTCCACCTTATCTCTCTTAGCCTCTCCCTCCAACCACAGCAAATTTTTTTGCTGCATAACAGCCAGCCGGTAACTTACCGGAACGATGCCCATCCGTTATCGGTAGCTCAGCTGGCATGCATCTGTTGCATTTTTCCCTTTTTTATGTATTGCGGCACAGTAGGTGAGGTGTTTCCCACCTCGAGCTAACGGGTATAATGACATAATGATGAACACTTAAGATATTTTAGTACAGGTTCAAACAAGTGGGATTTTTGAGTAGTTGGTGCGTAGTAAGTCTTTGTTTTGTATTATTGCGAAAATGGGCAATGCGACTGCCTAAAATCCTGTTACACACGACCTTTTTGATATGTGCGACGTTTGATTTGGAAATGAGTCTTTGTTGTTATATTGGTGACAATCTGAAGTGGTCCAAAAAGACCCTGCAAGTGTAGCCACAAGGTAAGAAAAACAGCTGGACTCAAGAAATCGAAAGCAGTAGTGGCATGTCAGACATGGTCTCCCATTATTAGTGCCGTCCATCTTTAGGCTCAGCCAGATCAATTTCTCTGTGCCTGAATGCAACGCCGTTGACAGGTTACCTCGCAGTCTAGCCCAACATCATACAATGCACTACGAAGGTGGTCACGCGACAAACATGACCTAACTAACATAAAAGGTCGAGTACAAAAAACACAAGCCGGTAGATCTGGATACTGCTCATCTGACGTGCTCGTGACACAAATGGCTTATGCCGGTAAGCCATCGGTAGCGGCGTTAAATCATCATAATTGATAACCTGACCGCGAAATAGCGAGGTCATCATCCACGGACACGTAAGTTACGAATATTGCATACAGGGCTGATACCCATATGTGAGGCTCTTCGGAAAACATTTATATACGACATTTAAAAGCAGTTCGGGCGTCGAGAACTCATGGGCTCGGTTCCTGGTGGGGCTGCTGGATATCCACTACTGACTAAACGGCAGTATCGTGTCTTTCCGGATGTGTGGGAGTCAGTTTGAATTGATTGCAGAGAACAGCTAATAAATTACATCAAAATCCCCCTAGGTGTTAGTAGTCAGAAGATGGTCCCCCTCGTACGCCAGTTAAGGACACGCACTACCAACCAAGTTGAAGGCGGGTTTCAAGCCGAGGAAAGTCAAGATAATTGATTATCTGTGTGTCTGTGCTCCAACACCTGACGAAGAGTAAACGTGTGCGCAATGTAGTTTCGATCAAGTAAAGCGATCAAGTCATGCTCTACATCTTTTTACATCTCGACTAAATGAAATGTGGCAACAGATTCTCTTAAGGTTAATCGGAAAACAATTTAATCAAAATTGCCTCCGATCCATTTGACATATCGTACCACATGTCACTGTTGAAATGGATACGATTGTGGATGGATAGCGAGTTCCGATAATTTGTCCATAACCCCTACAAGGTACCTCTTGCTGTAATCTGGTAAAGGATCTGCCATTGCGCCATGGGCTATTTGGACAGCTTCCTGGCTATGGTCTACTTGTACATGTTCCCCACTTGCATATGTGATCCGCGTGTCAGCACAAGGTAGACATTCAATTGTGAGGTAAAGGGAAATTGTAGCATCTGATCACGCCTGGTTCACAGTAAAAGAACCATTCGGAAGTCAAAGGCTTACATGCTGTTCAAACACTAGCGCCTAAGCGCTATTCTTTATTCCGTAGAAATCTGTAGCAGCAGTAATGAGATCAACCATTAGCAAGTAGAAACATTCGGGTTATCATTTCGTAAGAACAATACGCACATTACTTGAATAAGCGGGAGTCTATCCCTGGAATAGGGATAGATCATAGATACAACTGCGATCCGAATACATGTCCATGGACAGCCTGCTATGGCAAAAGCGTGAAGCCCTAAGGCGGTCAGGTGATGCGATAGAAAAAGGTTAAAAATAAGCAGCGTTTGGGAAGGCTGTAGCTCTGGATAATGTCAATTAGTGTAAAAAAGCAATGAGTAAGACAAGGTAGCAAGAGAGCCAGTAGCGACTCATATTCGGACTGTCGCCTTTAGTTACCAACTTTTTGGAACGATACCAATTCATCTGATAGGGGCATCAGCAGCACGACGGTACGACATACCGACGCTTCGCTGCCACACAACCATCACGAATTGCACGTGAGCTAAAAATACTGCGAAAGTCGCCCGGTCCTCTACGCAGACTCGAACCCGCGACTTCCGTGTTGCGAGACAGACGCCTCGCTCTTTAGGTCATGGGATGACAATTCGCTCGATAACGAGTAGCAATTTTATCTCCACTTCTCCGTTGTCTGACAGGAAAGTCAAGTGAGAAGTGATATCCGGGATTATGGTGGTTGATTGTTCCAACAGCAAGCAAAAAACAGATGGTTGCTCCGGAGGACTAACTAATGTACTGCACAAACCGATGTGCATAAGGCGCTCGTTACACACATCGATCCGACAAAATGGGACTCAATAAAAAGAAGTGTATAAATATTGATGGGTTAACCAGAATTCGGATGCTGAAACTACTTACCTGCACCATAGTATTCGGAGGTGGGTCGTTTCTAGTTGGGGTGTTCACGCCTATCTCGACCGAATGGCCTGGCGGTTCCCGAGGTGGAAACATATTGTTAGTATCTTGCCGCTGAGGAAGTGTCCCTGGAAACGGGCCTGTAGTCGGAGTTGGGGGACCCATGGGATTAAACCTGAAATATTCTTATATGGATTTTTCAAAGATACTGTTACCGAATCTCACCAGGGTTGAATGAGGGTCGAAATCCTGGAAGTAGAGTAGACGGTTGAACGTGATTGAAAATCCGTGGAGATCCAGTGGGAGGAGCTGCTGGATCTAACAGGAACGTCGACAGACAACCAGGCAAACCTGATTCAACGTCCTCCGGTTCTGAGCCATCATTCACTTCGCCCTCTTCAGCATCATCCACTAAAATATAAGTGAGTTGCACCAAAGTTTTCTTTACCTCCATGACGGAATCTTGTTTCAGCCAAAGCGGAAACAAATCTGCCTTCCCTAAAACAATGAGATCCGGAATTTCAGGAAAAGTGACACAATTGTAAGCGCAGGCAACCAACTAAATAAGCAAATGTAGAAAATAAATTGCGAGTAGTGATTAAAACGCGCCTATTCGAGTACCGAATAGTGGCACTGGGATAAAACACAGTTCATGAGCGAGTACAGCAAGGCAGTAAGCTTGGTAGGACCTCAGAGCATGACCTGATTGATAGCCGAAATACTGATGACGCTTTCTAAACAGAACTGCAGTATTAAAAGCACCTGGACAAAAACAAACTCGTGAGAATTTCAGAATAGCAAGAAACATTCTAACATAATTTATTAAATTTAGTAATGTCGCGTATTTTCTAAAGCTGTTTGCACAATCAGTGGAATAAACAGGTTATACTGAAAAGACAATCAGAGTGCGAGGTTAACGGCAAAAATTCAAAAAGGCCATTAGGCTCACGTGACACGTTCCGAGGAAAACGTAAGCATTAGCCTCACCATCGCACTCTGATCTCTTTGCTATGTAGCCTGAATAGAAAAAGAGAAATTGCTGAATACAACAAATTTTGTTGAAATTTTGTTTCTTCTTGCTATTCTGAAAGTCGTGAAGGGAAATGCCTGCATGAAAATTTTACAGAAACGCCTCCTTCTGATACATTTCGCTTGTTGAACAAAGTAGTGGAATTACGTTGCTATACTGCTCGTGAGACATTGCGTGTGAATGTTTAGCGTGAATAACTGCAAAGTTCTACTTACCCGCGTCAAGTTGTAAAGACGCTACGTAAAGACAATTTACTTGCCAATGTCCGGCACTTGCGAAGAGTAACTAAATCCCACATCGAACAAACCGTACAGCGCATTTCTGAACTGAACGCCAGAGCAAGATATTTAGAGCAAGTACCCAATGGTTAAAACATTGTATGCCGTATAAAATACTTCAACTTCCTTCGCACTTTGTTGTTAAAAGCGCTTTCAAATACTAGAAAACACCTAATGAGTTCCATGCCACCGGAATATTTCAACGATCAGAATCCGTTAGAAACTGAGAAGTATATGCTAAGTCTATCAATCACTACTTTGAGTCGTCACCAATTTGAAGCTTTATCGCAGAGTTTCAATTGTTTCAGTTCCACCAAATGGATATGACAGAATAGAGATTGGAACTCAGTTTGAGCAACTGCACGGAAAATTATCCAGTTTAACAACACTCAGCACGGATGCAAGCGGCTGGTTTCGAACTAAAATGGTAGATTTAGCTGACCAATTCTGTCAGTAAAACAGAAAAGTGTAGAATCCTAACGAAAAATCATTGAGAATCTTTAATGCAACCGCGGCAAAATATATGATAACACGACGAGGGATCAGGAGTTATAATTTCGGAAACGCAACACTACATTCAGTCTTAACAATTCTTACAGACTCTAATCGCTTCGTTCATGATTTGACAAAACGAGCAGATGGAAAGTTAAAAGTCCGTGAATTAATCAAGCTAGTGAAGGCCGGAGTGATGGATAGCAAAATCATGACGCAGTTACGCCCCCGGTAATCACGACTTTCTCATACGTATGGCTTACCGAAAACTCATGAGGGTGTCCCACTACGTCCAATCGTCTCAATGGTAGAAGTACCATACAAAACATTAGCGCGATGACTAGTGAAAGTTATCGAACGCATCCGAAGGGAACTAGCCAGTTACAGTCTAAGAGACAATCTTGAATTTGTCACCAAGAAAAAGCACAGTTTCCTTCGATGTATCCTCATTGTTTACGAACGTCCCTTTGGAAGAAACGCTGGACATAATAACAAGACAGACTCACAAAGTTGGGTTCCCAGCGATCCAGCTCAAGTCTTTTCTGTGCCTATGCACAAAAGATGTTCAGTTCCGGTTCAATGGAACCTTGTACCGATAAATCGACGACGTGAGCATGAGTAGTCCGTTGGGCCCAGTTTTGAGTTGTATCTTCATAAGCCGCCTGGAAAACAATTATCTACCTATATACAAAAGGTACACTTTCATGACCGGTATGTAGATGACCCCGTGGCGGAGCTGTAGGTTATCGAGCGCGTCCCCATGTTTGGGATTTGAAAATGCTTTCCTTGTGGAGGTAACTGCAATTAAGTCTCAGTTGCTTTGCAGGCGAGATGAGAATAAGCAGTCGCGGACAATCAGCGGCAGCGTCTCAGAGCATAGGAGGTTCTGGGCTGGTCACCTGGACCTCCATCAAAAACCAGAAGAGCTCGTACGGCGCTGTGTCAAAGCCAATGTGACCGGCTATAAGGTCACTGACTACTCACTTCTGTAACTGGAGGTGAGCATCTAACGGAGGGCCGATGAACAAACTTTCTGAGCACTGGCTTCTCTGTGGACTGCAACCGAACACAAAGAGGGCGAATGAGCCACCTGGCTGTCAACGGCATTCGTATTCGTCCCGTTGCCTTGTGGGTCAAGTCCTTAAGATCAAAGGCTCAGGGTGGGATCCCTCAAGTCAACTCTCTTCCTCGGCCTGGGCAATCGGGAAGATCTCTGCCCACACAGCACACAGGACATTGCAACCCTTCCACTGACACTCTTCCACCTCTTTGCTGTTGGAACCATGTGTTGTGGCACTGCCAAATGTTTATTGGTTGTGTTCACATATATATATATATATCTATATATATATATATATATATATATATATATATATATATATATATATATATATATATATATATATATATATATATATATATATATATAATTGCCCTCATCTGTGACAGCTCCGAGACGTGTCAAGCCGCGCTGGACAGATTAGCACTGGCTGTCAGTCGCTTCGGGCTTTGCTTTGCACCACCGAAGTGCAAAGCGTTCCTCCAGGATTGGCAGGGTTCGCCCCCTGTGCTGACCCTTGGTGGGGATCAGCTAGAAGTCGTACAAAAATTCAATTACCTGGGAAGTTGTATCAGCGCCCTTGGGATCGAAGACGAGATCACGAACCGCATAGCGAAAGCTCGAAGTGCTTTTGCTAACCTTCGCCACCTATGGCGACGGCGCGACATTACTCTCGCCCTGAAGGGTAGAGTGTACAATGCAGCGGTACGTTCGACCTTACTGTGCGGTTGCGAAACCTGGCCCCTAAGATCGGCGGACATGAAGAGGCTACTTACGTTCGACCATCGGTGCCTTCGCAGTTTGGCTCACATCTGGTGGGAATACCGCGTGAGTAACGAGCGTGTTCGACGCCTTGTTTACGGCCTAGGAAAAGGGAATGAACCGCTCAGCACCGTCATTTCACTCACCAGGCTCCGATGGCTGGGCCACGTGTTACGCATGCCAGCCCACCGACTCCCTCGACGTGCGTTGTTTGCTCACCGGGGATGTGGGTGGAAGAAGAGGAGAGGTGGCCAAGCGATGACTTGGTCCAGAGGAATGAAGGCCCTCACTTCTGAGCTGGCCTCAGTTGGAGCTTCACGGCTCCCTGGTTGGGGTCCAAAAGACGGTGAACACGTTTGGCTGGATACACCTGCTGATATGGCAAGGAGCCGACCTCAGTGGCGTTCATGCTGTGAGTTTCTTTGTCCCTCCCCATCCCTCTAGCCTCCCCCTCCATCTACGATCTTATTTCGTAGGGTAAAACGTAATTAAATTTTTGTTTTTGCCTAGTAGCCGGCTAGTAGCTTACTGGAACGATGCGTATCCGTTGCTGGTAGCTCAGCTGGCATGCAACTGTCGTATTTATTTTTCCTTTATGTATTGTATGTATGTATGTATTTCCTTTATGTATTGCGGTACAATAGCGGAGGTGTTTTACCATCTCTAGCTGACATGTATAATGATGATGATGATATATATATATATATATATATATATATATATATATATATATATATATTCATCGTAGTTGACACACCTCAACAGGTGGCGCGCTTATTGGAACTGTTGAATATGTCGCATTCAGTTATCAAATTCACAACGGGAAAATAGTCCGACGGATCTCTCCATTTCCTGGATGATGACTTACAGAGAAAGCCAGACGGTACAGCCGTCCGATTTGGGTACAGGAAACCAACATGGACGGGACAATACTTATACTTTAATAGCTTCTACCCATGAACTACGTAGGAGCTTTAGTATGTAGCAAATTTGCTAGATCTCGTCATATTTACTGCTCAAACACAATCGAACGTATCATCATCATCATACACGTTAGCTGCTGTGCCGAAATACACAGAAAAAAGGAGAAAAATACTGTTGCAAACCGGCTGAGCTACCGGTAACGGATGCGCATCGTTCCGGTAAGCTACCAGCCGGCTACTGTGCATCAAAAAAACCTTGCAGAGTTATATAAGGCTAACTAATGAGATCGTGGTTGGAGGAGGAAGCTAAGGGGGTGGGGTGGGACAAAGAAACTCACAGCACGAACGCCACTGAGGTCGGCTCCTAGCCATATCAATATGTGTGTCCAACCAAACGTGTTCATCGTCTTTCGGACCCCAACCAGAAAGCCGAGACGCTCCAACCGAAGCCAACTCAGAAGTGAGGGCCTTTATTCCTCTCGACCAAGTCATCGCTTGGCCACCCCTCCTCTTTTTCCATCCACACCCCCGGCGCGAAAACAACGCACGTCGCGGGAGTCGGTGGACTGACATGCGTAACACGTGGCCGAGCCATCGGTGCCTGGTACATGGAATACCGGTGTTGAGCGGTTCATTTCCTTTTTCTGTGCCGTAAACAAGGGGTCGAACACGCTTGTTGCTTACTCGGTGTTTCCACCAGATATGAGCTAAATTACGAAGGCACCGGTGGTCGAACGTAACTGGCCTTTATATGTCCGTTGACTTAAGGGGCCGGGTTTCACAACCGTACAGTAGGGTTGAAAGTATCGCTGCACTGTACACTCTACCCTTCAGGTCGAGAGTGATGTCGCGCCGGCGCCATAAGTGGCGAAGGTTAGCAAAAGCGCCTCGAACTTTTGCTATACGGTTCATGATCTCATCCTCAATCCCACGGGCGCTGATACAACTTCCCAGGTAGTTGAATTTTTGAACGACTTCTAGCTGATCTCCACCAAGGGTCAGCGAAGGAGGCGGTCCAGGCCAATCTTGGAGGAACGCTTTGCACTTCGAGGGTGCAAAGCAAAGCCCGAAGTGACGGACAGCTAGTGCTAACCTGTCCAGTGCCGCTTGGCACGTTTGTGAGCTGTCACAGATTAGGGCAATATCTTCAACATACTCCAACTCAAGAATACGTTCACCTGGGAGTAGATCTACGCTTTCTAGGTCGTGTCCTGTGAACGCGATTTCCACGACTTCATCAATAGCGAAGAGGAAGAGATAAGATGACAGCGGGCATCTTTGTCTCACGCCGCTGGAGATGTTAAAGGGCGACGACAACTTGCCGTAAGCCCTCACTCTACCCGAGCTACGCGCATATAATGCTCGGATAATATTTACGTATTTCTCAGGTACTCCTTTTTTGAGTAGACAGTCCCAAAGTGCATGTCTATCCACCAAATCGAATGCACCTTTGATATCGAAGAACAAGACAA